GCTGATGCAGTATGAGGTGTTTTGTTTACTATGTGACTTTTTTTTGAGTTATTACCCAATTAAAGCCCCAGCAGGGCACCACTTGCCACACTGCTAGAATTTTTAATTTATTATTTTTTTTTTTTTTTAAATTTTGTTTGCGGAAGGTGCAAAACATACCCAAGCATTTGTAGGAATTTAAGATTTTTCCCATGTTCTTGCGGAGAAGTGTTCATTCAGGTCCCTGGCCAAATTTGTTTGGACAGTGACCTGTTGACTATGTAAATGCTTCTTTATAACTTGATCTGTGTTGGGTGATTCTAAAAAAGTCTCTGATAGCCTCACAAATGACTGTCTTATTCCAGGAACTTTGTTCTTTCCTAAATGTGGGGCCAAATATTTTGTGGGTTTCTTGGTAGTAGTTTAGGTTCATATCTTTGGATCTGTAGTGAAGTTGGCTTATAGTGTTTAAAGAGCCTGGAGGTTAAGTTTTGTTGTAAATTTGAGATCATTTTCTGTTAAATACAAAACAAAACAAAACACCCTGGCATATGCCTTAAAAGCTTTAACTTAAAGAATAAAACTTGCTAAAAACACATTGACCTTGAGTATATACCCTGAACATGATTCCCCTGGCAGCTCCTGGAGCTGCTGGCAGGAGCTGCAACATAATTTCTTCTTCTGTGTGGAAAAGGCCTAGGAACTCTTATGCTTTTCTGCAGAGCAACCTCACTCTCTCCTATAGGATAGCATAAAGGGTTTTGTGCCTTGCAAGGGCTTATGTCATCAACTTTCCTGCTGCACACCATCCTTAATTTGGGTGTGAGAACCAGATTCACAAATAAATCCATGTGGCATTCACAAGAGCTTTAGTTTACACTGAAACCACAAATTTACACGGTCCCTGTGCAGACAGAAACTGATTTGGGTTTTCTTATTAGAGCTTGTGAACTTTAGCTTTTATTTGACTATTTTATATCTGTTTTACAATAGACCATACTGTCTATAATGATTAACCACTCTGGCGGGGCATGAGTCATCTGGGTCTTAAAAGCCTCTAAGGATGGAGATTCCACCACAACTCTGGGTAGCCTGTTCCAGTGGTTCATTACCCTTCTAGTTGTTGAGCCCCAGCTCAAGTCTGGGATCGTGCCCGGTATGCAAAGGCCAATAAAGATACCAGGGGTGAAAGTATAAAGAAGATTTATTGCTAGCAATAAAAGGTGCAAGCGGAATAATTTCACGTAACAAGCGCACAGATTCTTAATTCTAAGCATCTTTTATACAAGAGTATTGGACCTTCATAAGCATTCTTGTTTGCTAATTGGTTATAAAGGAGTGACACAAGGAGTTCTTTACTGAGCATGTCTCTATACCTGTGTTTTAGCTATGTATCTCATTTACATACATGTATGTTTCATTAGCATACTTTCTCCCCACCTAGGGGCGTGATTTTTACTATTTAAATTAGCTCTTTGCCCTAGTCCTCTGATTCTGCTTTTGTTTTCAAGCCTCCTTTATCTAAGACTGTCTCCTCCTTATCATTGCAGATGGGCATTAGTTACATAACAGAGACTTTTGCTTGGGCTTTGTATAGTGGTTTCTAGGTCAAACCTCACATAGTGAGAAAATTCTTCCTAATATCTAACCTAAATTTCTCTTGTTAGAACTTGAGACCACTGCTCTTTGTTTTGTCATCTGCCACCGCTGAGATTCAGCAATAGACAACAACTTTAGTAACAATCTCAGCAGCACCTAAATGATTGATGTCATATTTGAAAGTGAGATTTAAGCTCTTATCAAGGTTTAAGGAAGATTTCCAAGAAAGCTGGAATGCATTTTGAGCCCAAAATACTCATCTTGCATTTCTCCCAGCTATATAGCTGATCCAGTATAAGATTATCAAACAAGTCCTATTTTTCACATACTCCCTTCGCACACATTTGAAAATCCCAGCATAAGTAACTTTCATGAATGGGGTTTAGGGGATGTGTAGACTGAAAAAATATGGACACTCAGATGATCCTTTGCTGTATTTAGCACTGATGAGGCCTCACCTGGAGTTCTGTGTCGAGCCTTGAGTACTGCCCCTCAAGGAAGATGTGTACAAATGATGGACCAAAGGCAGCTGCTTAGGTACTGATAATTGTGCCGCCAGTGCAGCACTGATTCAGCTCAGGCTGCAAAACCAGCCTAGCACCCTGAGGAAATACTCAGGCAGGTAGCCAGTAGATGACAACCTCCGTGCAGCCACAGCTCTGCTATTATCTGTGCTTGTGATTACATGTTGTTCCTCGCCCTGCCTGATGTGAGAATCGCTTAAGCTTGCACTCCTGTATTCAGGGAGAGCCCTCTTTCTTGTGAGCAGCTGACAAGATGCTTTTTGTTTTGTCTACTTTACTGTTAATTTAGTTAGAAACTTGATTGCATTGCATTGATTGAGGCTGTCTAGCGTTACAGTTGCAACCTGCTTCTGTAAGCCCAGTGTTTCAAAAACATTCTGTTCTTAGGAGGGATCTAGTAAGCCATCAACAGTTTACCCTGCCCCCTCCCCCCTTTAAAAAAAACCCAAAACCAACCTTATTTTCTGGGAGAAAAATGTTTGTTTGATTTAAGTAAAGACAAACCCTTACAGCTGTTAGCCTCCTGGGTGATTAGAAAGATCCTGAGAGTAGAGCTCTGCTGTCTGTCCTAGCCTCCTCTAATACTCATTGTCTGGCCTAAGCAAGCACAGAACAGGAGCAAGAAGATGGGAGTTTGTTTCTCTGCAGCACTTGGAGCATAAACCCTAGGCAAAACTCTGCTGAAGGATTGGGGAAAGTGGAGGGTGCAGAACAGGGTTGCTTTGCTCTGGAGAGGGGGGTGGGGGGGTGGGGTTGGTTGTCAGATTTTTATACCATGTGGGCTCAAACTCCCTGGTTGCTGCGGTGTGGTGGTGGTGCTGCTGGTGCTACAGCAGTTGCAGGAAGTACTTTCACTCAGCTGCTGCCACTGCCATGGTGTAGACCAGTGGTTCTCAACCTTTTTTGACCAGGATCCATTTGTAAACATAGATGACCAGTTCTAACCCACTGCCTTCACCCCTATGCCCTGGGGGAGGGGGGTGGTATGTGGGGTGCACAGGGAACCTCAAGCAGCCCCTTGCAGGCTGGCAGAGTTCCAGCCTGCAAGGGGAAAAGTCACAGTTTCCCCACATTTTTCTCCTTTAAAGGAGAATCTATTTTTAAAGTTTGTTGATCCACCTTTAAAGTTCGTTCACAACCCTTTCGTATATTCTTGTGACCCACTTTTCGGTCATGACCCAGCGGGCTGAGAAACATGGGTGTAGACTTCCTGGGAGGCTGCCATTCTGGCATCTCTAAGTTAGCATCCCAGGGCTGCAGTCACCCCTAATTACACCACTGGTGGTGCTCCTGTGCTTGTCAGGGGACTGTATATAGACCTTGTTTGTTTGAAAGTCAATGAAAGTTAGACTCTTAAGTGTTTGAGAAGCATTCAGGTAAACTGTCTATTACGACCACCAGTAACGACCTCTAGTGACGGCTATCCAGGATTTCAGCAGTTTGTGGGGAGTGCTTTGCAGATCCTCTTTCTTGATGTACTCCCCTTTGTGTAGGCCAAAGGGAAAACAAACTACTTGTATAAATTTTGCTGGGAATTTACTTGGGCAGAGTGGCATGTCTTTGCTGCTTCCATAGTGCTTTCAAGAGGTGCATCCCCCCTGGGTGTATAGCTGGCTCCTAGATTCATAGATGTTAGGGCCGGAAGGGACCTCAATAGATCATCGAGTCCAACCCCCTGCATAGGCAGGAACTAATGTCCAATCTAAATCTGCTCTCTGCTAGCTTGTGGCCATTATTTCTTGTACCCCCTGGGGGCGCCTTGGTGAATAACTACTCACCAATTCCCTTCTGTGCCCCCGTGATGAACTTATAGGCAGCCACAAGGTCGCCTCTCAACCTTCTCTTGCGGAGGCTGAAAAGGTCCAGTTTCTCTAGTCTCTCCTCGTAGGGCTTGGTCTGTAGGCCCTTAACCATACGAGTGGCCCTTCTCTGGACCCTCTCCAGGTTATCCGCATCCCTCTTGAATTGCGGCGCCCAGAATTGCACGCAGTACTCCAACTGCGGTCTGACCAGCGCCCGATAGAGGGGAAGTATCACCTCCTTGGACCTATTCGTCATGCATCTGCTGATGCACGATAAAGTGCCATTGGCTTTTCTGATGGCTTCATCACGCTGCCGACTCACGTTCATCTTGGAGTCCACTAGGACTCCAAGGTCCCTTTCCACTTTCGTGCCACCCAGCAGGTCATTCCCTAGGCTGTAGGTGTGCTGGACATTTTTCCTCCCTAAGTGCAGCACTTTGCATTTCTCCTTGTTGAACTGCATTCTGTTGTTTTCTGCCCATTTGTCCAACCTGTCCAGGTCTGCTTGCAGCTGTTCCCTGCCCTCCGGCGTGTCCACTTCTCCCCATAGGTTTGTGTCATCTGCATACTTGGACAGAGTACATTTCACTCCCTTGTCCAAGTCGCTGATGAAGACATTAAAGAGTATCGGTCCGAGGACCGAACCCTGCGGGACCCCACTACCCACACCCTTCCAGGTCGAAGCCGATCCATCCACCACGACGTTCTGGGTGCGACCCTTCAGCCAATTCGCCACCCACCGGACTGTGTAGTCATCCAAGTCACAGCCTCTTAACTTGTTCACCAGTATGGTGAGCTCCTGTGCTGCCCTCTCCATGCTGTGATCCAGCTGGACAGATAATTCCTTAAAAGCTGCTGTCTGCTGACAGGCCTCAGCGCACATGCTATATTGTACTGGCATATCCTGGAGCCAGGGTTGAGCCAGAAATGTCATCAAGGAGTCAACAGTGCTTCGTCCCTACTTTGCTAACTAGATTTTGCCTTGGTAGAGAGCCTAGTGGCCTAGTCCAACTTCTTTAGAGATACTTTAAGGAAATCTTAATGCAAGTGGTTGTGTTGTCCTGTGTTTTAACTGTGTCTCTTTGTTCTTTGGCAGGTATCTCTGATGAGCACATAGCTAATGTGACCCTTCCTACTGGTGTGCCAGTCCTTCTTGAACTGGATGAAAATCTGCATCCTCTTAGCCCTCACCAGTTCCTGGGTGATCAAGAGGCTATCCAGGCTGCCATTAAAAAGGTGGAAGATCAAGGGAAAGTCATACCTACTGAGAAGAAATAAATAGTGTTTACAGATGCTGACCCTCAGCTGTGTGTGTGGTAACAAGTAATGCTTTGTTAGTGTTAAGTTGCACTTGACAGACTACTTCATTTTAAGTGCTGTGTAAGTGGAGGGGCTTATTATTAAGTATTAAATAAGGATATTAGCCAGTCTCCTTTGAAGATGAGAGTTGAGATCTCAACAGGAGAAGGGAGAGTTATAGGTGGGAGAAAATAGAGTTAATGATTTCATCTAGATGATAGTTAGAACAGCATATAATTGTTACACAATTTGCCTCAAAACTCAGTTTGAGAGAGGCCCAAGGCAGGAGTAGGAGGATGTGTTACTGGTTTGGAATGAGTATTAGCAGAGCCTTATATGGGTAGCTTGCACTGCATGGCACTGGGATCACTATAGGGTTAGTCTCTGACTTTCACCAGTGTTATTCTCTCCCAAATTGCAAAAAAGTAAGTGTTGGCAATAAAGCACCTGATTAACTGTCTGCTGGAAGTCCTCTCTTTTTAAGATGCCTATCCATGTAATACACACACCTCTCCTTGAGCTTATTGCAGTAATGCTGCTATGTTTGATGCAGCTTTATTTTTAGCAGCTCATTTTCAGGCTCAAAGAATCGCCTTGTGGGCTGAAGGCTAACTATTGTCCTGGAGGAGAACTTAAGTCAAAGTTGTTTGTTTGTTTTGGGTGGGGTTTTCTTGTGGACATAGCTGTGTCTTGTATCTGCTAAACATTGGCATAGGCTAATTTGCCATGGAGATGTTCTCTTTCTTCCTCTACACCATGTCTTTACCAAAACCTTCTTGTACAGCTAAATTCTGTTGGGTTGTATCAGGGCATCCGTAGTAGGGCTTCAGTTTTGTAGCTCAGCAGAAGCTAGCCCATACACATAGCGCAAAGAGGTTTAAAGCCTAGGCAGAACTTTAAACTTGGCTTTCCATCCCTCCTTGCATTTTTTGAGAGCTTAAACACTTAATAGGTGTGCTGAGCTTGATTCATTAAAACTGCTAGAAATGCTCCTGTTGATTCTACTGAGGTCTAATCCAACACCTGTGAATATCTCCTTGTTCTCACTGAGCCTGCCATGTACAGTCCCAGGTAAAGCAAGTTGGACTAGAGTGGCTTCTACAATGAAGTCTTTACAAGCATTTCCACAAGCACAGTTGCCAGGGTATTCTCAAGATCTGCTTCTTACAGAGGCAGAGAGATTTTGATGACAAGCAGGTTACCATGTGGAGGAAATGTTGCTCAGTGAAATATCTACAGTTTTCTTTTATGGTCTCTCAAAAAAGGCAAGAATATTCAAGTAATTTCCCTCTGTCCTATGAATTTCTCAACCCCACTGGGCAGTCTCTCTTGCTTTTTTAAAGCAGCTTTACATCATTTGTATTTAGCATTGTGGTGGTGGTTCTTACATTCAGAAGTGACAGTATATTCCACGTTGTGACTATTCAGTTTTACTTTGTTGACACATGTGCAAGTGTTGTAGCTTTAAATCAGAATCTGTCCCAGTAAGTAAACCTTTACCAGTCCAAAGTCTGCCCCTGAGCATAGTCTTCAGTGGAGACTGCCTGTACAGTTTGCAAAAGCAGAATGTGGCCTGGCTGTGACTTTTGAGGTAATGAGTCTGAATTCCCTGAGTGTTTGGTCTTTTTCATTGAAATAAAAAACAAACCCTTCACATATTGCTTTTTTTGCAGTGAGCAGCTTGCTAATTCTTCTGAGATTTTATTTGTATTTGGAAATGGGCTGTCTCCTGAAGATGTGAGCAGCATGTCAGTGCTTCATGCTTCTCTAGTCATTTGGCGACCACAGCTCTGATACACTTTGAGTCTTTTGTAGTATAGCAATAGCTGGTGTCAGCAAAGCATGTTGACTCTGACATCCTGAAGAGAAGCTTCCTTTGCATGAATGTCTTTTGGACACCTGGGTTGTTTGTTGGTTTGTTTGGTTTTATTAATAGCACTTGCCAGTAGGGGGCAAGTTACACTTGTATTAAGCCAATGTTTCTCTTTTGAAAACAAAAAACAAAACAAAAAAAAATCAAAAGCAACCCCCCCCCCCCCAAAAAAAAAAAACCAAAAAAACCAACAACCACCAACCCAGAAGGCACAATTTCAAATCTCACTTTAACTCGTTCTCAAGACCTTGTTCAGTCCCCATTCCCCATACCTACCTGTGGACACTTGTAGGTAACATTGCCTATTACGTGTGGATTATTTATGGTGTTGTAAAAAGATCATTTTAGATTCAGAAGTTGCTGGCAGCCAGCGCACTGACTTCACTGTGACAGTCTAGTCAAATATGCTTGCCAGAGCTATGAGGAGGAGCCCCATCACTAAGATGACTAATGGGGTGTGGGCTCAGGCATTGATGAATTTGTTCACTAAAGTGGTTTTGCCTGTAACTCTAACAAGAGAAGAGTTTTGCATCTGCATGATGTACTTTGGTGCCTGCTTATGATGAGGGATGAGGGGAGGGAAAAGAGAGAGCTTACAAGAAATATAGTATTTTGTAGAGAATAATTAGTATAGTTTTGCAAATAGGGTCACCCCCCTACCCTTGGCTGTACGTACACATGTCCTACTGGCTGCATTGGGATGCATGGACACGACTGAGGCCAGAATACAGCCGACAGCTGTTTACAATAAAACAGTACCACAGGAGTACAAAAGAATTTTGAAGTGCTGTAGTTCAACTGTAATACTCAGAGCTCTGCTAAATAAACCAACCCACTCCAAGGTCAGACTTGTCCATGCTTTTTGCATAATGTACAGGAGGGCTAGAGCTGAAATGCTGTAGGTTGCACGTGAGAGGAATAGTGGAAATAGCTGTAGTCCTACCCAGTTCACTCTCCCTTTCAGCCTCCACTCTGCCACTGTGATGGATCTTTGGTCTGACCCAGTAAATGGCAGTTCTTATGCTCTAGATACCAGTGCCTCATGTCCTCCTGGGGGGGAGCACTTGTTCTATGAATGCCTGACCCTTGGGGGAGAGCAGAAGGGTAGGAGGGAAAGTGCTGAGTTAACATGCAGGAGCTGCTGGCATCAGTTCTAGCAGCCAGGTAGGTGGGGTGGGGTGGTGGAGGAAATGGTCAGATCAGAACTTGTTTGAGAGAGAGCTGCAGAAAATGAAACGGGAACTGCAGCATGGTATGTAGATGCTACATTGTTCTTGCAGTGCTCGTGTCTAGAGGCAACAGGAGCACGCTGGAAAGGTGGACTTCCATAGCTCTGGCTGTGACTCCATTTGATGACTGAACCTTACCAAGTGTTTATACTGTGTGCTCTTTAGCTTTGCCAGCAACAGACTGAGACTTGGACCTCATCCCAGTGGCTTTCAGATGCCTTTTAGTTAGCTGTAGGATTGACTTGGAGGCCCAATTCTATGAGTTACTGAGCTTGTAACATTCAGCTTGTAACATTGGTCTCTTAGTATTCAATACAACTAAGTTCCTGATACACAAAAGGACAGAAGCCAGCTTTCATCAGCAAGGACAGAGTACTAGATCTGCAGGTTCTCTTGCAACAGGGGGTAGGGGAGAGGCAGACTTGGTGGTCATAAAAACCCATGGTTGGGAGATTGTATTTTTTTTCCCCCTTGACTTCAGTTCCGTAAATTATTCAGTATCTATAAAGCTGGCACCCTAAGTCTGGTTTGTTGGGGGGTTTTTTTGGATTTGAAGTGTGTGATTCCATGGGATAATAGTTTTGTGATTTGGTTGAAAACACTTGTAAATATTGTAGACCTGGCAAGTTGTTCCTAATGCAATAAACTCACCTGAAATGGAACTTTACTTTTGCTTTTCTTGTGTGGTTTTTTTTTTACTACTTGTCCTATTTTATCCCATTTATTTGGAAAATAAAAGGGTGTGAATCAAGCTGTCGCTTACTACATGTCACCTTCATCACCTGATCCAGCCAATTCTGGACTGAAAAATAGCTATTGTTAAAGTGCAAGGACATTGCCTCACTTTGATAATAAAGAAGTTGGTAGTAGGAAATTCATATCAACTTGAAACTATGGGGATGGCTTGGGTAAGAATGACACATGCAGATTCTTGTGTGGGCCCAGTATTCTAGAAGTAAAACAAAAACCAACAGCAGCAAACTCATACCTACTGTGGCCTTTGGTCACTTCATAAGTCTTATCATTTTGAAGGTTCTAGGACATGTGGATTCATTGGACAAAGCAATCCCTCTCCCTCCTCTAAATATCTAACCCCCCTGTGGAGTTCTGTTTTCAGAAAAAAAGCGGCAGGGACCCCATGAAGTCCAGTAGGGACTATGCTTTTGCCATCTAGTTTTATACAGAAGGCCCCAGATACTGTAGCCTAAGATGAATAGACCATTCAGAAGGCAATTGGGAAAGCCAAATTGCTTGATTATGAAATGTACAAAAATGCTTGGAGATGATGAATTCTTCTATTTATTTATTTATTTATTTGTTTGTTTTTTCACTTAATTTATTGGGAGGAATATTCTGGTAGTATTGCATACCACTGCCAAAATGCATGCTGCCTTGGGAGTTAAAGAATGGAGATGAAATACTGGCTTGCTGGGACTCCAAGTACTGTTGTGGGTCTTTTGCTAAATTCTGACTTTGGAAAGAAGAGCCTCTCAGTTGACACCATTTCCTGTATTACTTAGACTCAAAGAATGTCTCACCAGTGGCTTGGTTAGATCCCGCTTAAGTTTAGATCAGAAAATCACATTGCACAGAGGTTGTGCTGCAGACAGTGACACCTTGAAAAACCCACTCATCTAGGATAGGTGGGGAAACTTCTTGGCCAGGCCCATTGACATGTTCTGCAGAACCCATGCTTCACACACAGCACAGTGTAGTACAGCATAAAGATCTAGCTATGCAGTGGCAACAGACATTTTAGCACAGTGAGCTAATATACCCTGCTTCTCAGCAAAGATAGCTAGCCTGAATAGATCATTACTGTTTAATGCAGTTCTAGCATTTCCAGTACATATTCAGGGGAGGGGAGGAAAAATTTGGCAGTGGAGGGTTCTAACCGCTTAGGACAGGTGTCAAACTTGATTGACCTCCTGGGCTCGATCTAAACCATGGGGTTCCTCATGGGCCAGATTAAGGCATGGTGGAGGAGCAAGCAGTAGCAGTGTGGGAATTAGCACAGCAGCCCTCCACACATGACATGTGCCTAATGGAACTTTGTACCCTGGAATTTGGCAGCGGGCCCTGCCTCCAATTTCTTGGCCCCTCCAGGAATCCAATGGGATGGGTGAAACTGATCTGAAGGCTGTATTTTTGGCCAACCTACCCTAGGGTTTTGATGGAAGCTGACTGTGAACCAGCACTGTGCTGTCTTCCCAGGCCTGCCCTCAGATTGCGCCATGCTGTTGCTGAAAGCCACCAAAAGGTCTGATGATATGAACACTGACCAATGTCTGTCTTCTGTGCTGGCTTTTACCACAACCTTCTCTCCACTTTCTGCTGCTCAACTCTAAAAATGACAAGCATGACCATACCTTTGCTTAAGGAATCTCTGAGCAAAATCTGAGGCTGTTATTGGGAAAGGGATCTTGAATGGAGTGTAAAAAACCCATGAGATAATGGGAAGCTGCCACCTTGAAGTAGCCAAAAGCTCTGTGGTAGGGGATATTAGGCTTCTCCCTCAAACATGGAAGTCAGGTTGCTCTGAGATAAGACCTCTCCAGAGGTACCGTCTCCCTTGTAGCAGATGGGTGGCTTTGTGTGAAGTGCTTCGAGGTTCCCCAGCATCTACCAGCTGCAAGCTGATATGAAAGAAATAGCTCAAGGATCACAGCATCTTTCTCACTGCTGCCGAAAATGACTTGTTGCCTGAGGTCTCAGTGGGCTACTCTAGCAGAACTTGGTGATGCTCTAATCATGCCCGTATGTTGGGGGCTTTGAGGTAATCCATTGGTTATGTTATCTATGCACCAGATAGAAACCTTATATATAGGGCTGGGTGGGTCAGCTTTAAAATTAACTTATGCTGATGGTGTGGTGTGAGGGGACCCTCTGGTTATGGCTGAAAACTAGCCAAAGTCAAGTATGGGGTGGTAAGCCAGCCTGGAGGTTACTAAATCATGGATCAGTGTGGTAACTTTTGTGCTGGAAAAGAATGACTTTTGTTATAAGAGTGTTGGAGTGATGTAGCTATGATGTTCCAGGAAATATGCAGGAGACCAGGACTTTTTGGGTCATATCTTGTATTTGGGGCAACTGCAAAGTTGGAAGAGATACTTTAGACAAGCTTTTGGGCACAGGGTACCCTTCCTCAGGTCTGGGAAAGAAGCAGCTGCAGCTTGCCCAGTTGTAAAGGAGCCCTCACTACTATGGTTGTTACACTGGAATCAGTCTTGAGATCCCCAAACTGTTTATGGTGGTAGCACAGTATGTGTATGCTCCCCCCACCCTTGTCACCCTTTTGTCCAGATCCTTGTCAGCATCACTCAGCCTGAGCCATTTCATTGCTATCCATTTCCATATCTCTGCTTCTTGTGAGGTCAGGTAAGTACAAGGAAAGTGGAGATGCACTTTCATTGCAATTTTTAAGGAAGTCCCCAGTACAGCAAATCTATAAGCCTGAACTGTTCTGTGGTGACTGTGATATAATTACTGCCACGTTGTGAATCTATCCATTCAGAAAGACCAAACAGCAGCGAGGAAATGTAGGGATTCCTGCTTCTGTTGGAGCTCCAAAAAGAATAGTTGTTTTTGCTTAAGTTAAAATAAGAATATTAATTAAAACTTGCTCCTCCCTCAGGTAAATTAGCAGAGCAAATGTTACTAAAGCCTTTCTTCTGTATCCGTGAGACATTAATGTAATTCCAGAGTTGGGGCTCTGTGTGAAATGTAAAACAACTTAAACAAAAACAGCTTTCTTGCTTGATGGTTGCTTAATGCTTATCAGACTCGTGCAGCTTTTACAGCGGCACTCACAGCATTGTAGTCGAGACTAAGCCCATATTTCTGTTTTAACTCATAGTCGCTCCACCCTTCCTAAGTCCCCTAGAGTGCTCTTTCAGGATCTGTGCAGAGGAAAGGGGATGATGACAGGGGTGGCTAGACTAGGATCAACATGCACA